TGAACCCTAGAACGAGCCCCTGTCATGGGATCCTTTTCTAAAAACGCTAAACCTTGGGTACTGCCCCCACTCAGTAACAGTCGATATTAGGGGTCCTATTAAGGGCTATATATAACCATAATATAAATATTATCCAACTGTTACTGAGGGGGGGAGGTACCGAAGGTTTAGGGTTTAGGGTTTTAGGGTTTAGGGTTTAGGCACTAGGATTCGGATGAAGCACTGATGTCTCCTGTGGCTGCGGGTTCACAGATGTCAATGTAAAACTGGATGGTCCTGAACGGCTCAAAACGGTTTAAAAGCTAATGAAGCACTAATGTGTCCTGTGGCTACCCTGATGATGCCTTCCGAGCTATACTACATTGCCATAACTCCCTAGGTTTAGGGCAGTTTAGGGCACTCGATGATGCAGGCCGTAAGGTATCAACCGTAACATCAATCAGCCCAGGCAGCTGACCAGAAATTCCTGGAGCGGATTTTCCAGCGCATTGATGCTGACGGCAGTGGGCAAGTGACCTTCGAAGAACTTCTGGAGGTTCCCTTTAGGGCCCCTGAAAGAGAGCAAGGGTATAGTAGTTTGCAAGAAGAATATCGCCTGCATTTGTTCAATCCTAAACTCCAAATCCTAAGCAGAAACCTGAGAGTCTGGGTTCAGCCACCTGAAAGAAACAAAGTCATTGGGGTTGGGAGGCTACTCGTGAAGAAGCTGTATGAGTATTTACGATTGAGGGATTAGGCTTCAGAGCACATACCTAGTAGTAGAGTACTCTGGCAAGATGCGATAACACCCAGGCCATTTTTAGCCCTCGCCGAGCTCTGGCGTCCCTAAGCTGTAGACCGTAGACCCAGCCGCAGGGTTTAGATTTGATTTGAGAGTTCGGGATGATTTTGCGGAGCACAAAGCCGAAATCAAGTCCCTCACCCTAGTCATAAAGCCCATGTCCCCCTTGTTCTCCCTGTCCATACCGTCACCGAATTTGAACATGTATTAAAGGGGAGCGGGGGGTTTTCTAGGGGTTGAAATCCCGCCAGAACCCTTATCTAATCCCAATTTCCGTTTCAGTTTAATTTGTCGAGCTTTGCTATCCGGAGGTGGCACGTTGAACCCGAAGCCCTGCACCCCAAATCCTAATCCCTGAAACCTTTTATATACGTTATCCATAATCCCCAAACCAGGTAGCTTGGCAAATAGCTTTTAAATTGCGATACCTTTATCCCTATGTCATCTTCATAAAGCCATAAGCATTGATTTGTCTAAGGCCCCCGAACCAACCCTAGAAACGCCAAACCCCAACCCCTAAAACTTAATTCCTAAACCCAAGAGAGAATCCCCAAATCCTAAACCCTAATCCCCAAACCCTACTAGAGCCCAAAACTACTCCAGGGTGCAAGAAGAGATCCCGAGTTCCAGAGTCGTTTGAGAGCCGCTTGGCCCGGGTTTACAGTGGTTCGGTTTAGGGTTTAGGGTTTAGGGTTTAGGGTTGAAGGTGTAGGTTTTAGGGTTAAAGGTTGAGGGGAGGTTACAGCAATTGGGCTGGCCTCTGGGATATTTACATATTTTCCTTTTTTGGCCTCACAAGGACCATATATGCTAATAGTTCTCAAAGGGGTCCAAAGGCCAACCAGCGCAATTAAAAGATGAAGGCCAGTTCATTTCAGAACCAGGTCGGGGTTTAGGTTTTGGAGGTTCCTATGATAAGGATTATAGTATTTTGTACGGATTACACTATATTGAGGTCTGTCAAGGGATCCGCCCCCCCATGTGCGGAAACTAGTACTCCTCCAAACCAATGGTCACGTTCTAGGTTTTTTTAAAAAGGGGAAATGGATTCCTGTTTTCTTCAGTTTGCGGGGTAACACACACGGCTCCTAATTTAACAGGGTTCCCATGCGGTCGGAACTATTCGGGCATCCAGGGCATGCCCGAAGAATCGCCGCAAGTCCCTAAACCCTAGCCCTAGCCCCAGAGTCGAAAAAGAATGTCACCCTAGGTAGCGAAAAATTGCCAGGTAACTTTCTCTAGTCTTTTGTTTTCACTAGCAGAGATAGCACTAGTGTTTTATACAATCGCCTTAACCCTCAACCCTAAACCACGGCATTCAACGAACGCGGGCGAGTAACAACCATGGTTAGAATCGTTTGTAGTGGCACAATGACCCCTGCAACCATATATGGTCCAGATACTCCTGAAAGAAACCTGTACAACTCCTATACTGTGGGTTCAGGATTTTGGGGTGTAAGTGGGAACGAATTCAGAGAGAACATGTTGAAACAAACATACGGGCTGCTCTCAAAAATACGGACCCTTTTGATTATAGATTATATGACGGCACCTAATAATATTTAGGGGTACCCAAATGCCACCCTAATTTTCAGAACTGCCCATACAAGGACCTAAAAGGATATATATGTATATATACCTTGGTTGGAACACCTGTTAAAGCTGATAGCTTCGAACCCGCCAATTATGGCTCAAAAGATAGATGTGCACAGGGCACATGTTCTTCGACGAATTTCATGTCGCTACATAACTTTCAAATGCTTACGCTTGCGCACACCAAAATCGCCCCCAGCCTCCCCCCCGAAAATGTTTGATAGGGACCCTCTGACCCTCAGAGAATTCCTATGTATCCCCAGGGCCTGAAGCCCTTGCGAGAAATTCCCCAACCTCCTCCACCTTATACCAGTGCTGCAGGGTGGGGGCTGTATCCAGCCTAAACCTCTAAGCCACAACATACTGTGGATAGAGGAAATCTTGCACCGCTTTTACAACGTAGGTTTCTTACAGCCCCGTACCCGCGTTGTAACATTGACGTCGAAGCCTCCAGAAACAAATTTGTTCCAATGACTCAAATCTTGCACCGCCTCAGACAGAACAGCTGTCATCATTAAAAAGGGGGTGCGGGGATGCGTCGTAACGAAGTTGAAGATGCCTATTATGCAGGTGGTGCAAGATTTCCTCCAAGCACCGACTGGATGTAGTTGGCGAAAACAGGCAGATGTGCGGTGTGTATGTCGGGTGGTGTCTGTCGCTTAATGTCAGCGACCCACACTACATCTTACCAAGAGGCCAGAAACCCACGCTTTCCTTCAACTTTCA